CATGCCCTAGTATTAATGGCCGACGAGAAAGAAGAATCTCTCTCTCTTCGAGCAACTCAAGATACACGCCCTAGTACTGATGGCCGACGAGATATTAGAATAGAGTAGAAGGCAGCCAGGAAACAGAAAATAGTGAATTTTTCGAACGGAAAGGAGCAATGTGGTGAACTCTTATCATAAATTTGTTGTATGGATCCGACAAAATTTCTTCTCTTCTTGGCCGTAAAACGCCATCTCCGACGAACTTTCTTCTCTTCTTTGCTATTTAATTACATACAATGATACAAATACATTGTATTCTGTACAAATTCACTCAAACACATTGTATTTTTGTATAAATATATTTTTTTGTTTGTATTTATGTATTTCGAAGGTCTGTATTTTTTTTAATACAGCTGAATACATGATATAAACATTGAAATATACTGAATACAAATATTAAAATATAACAAAATATAAATATTGAATACATTTAATTTTTAAATACAGTAAAATACAATGAATACAACCAATAAAATATACTGAGTACAACAATAATAACATATATTAGGAATAACTAAAATACTGTTAATACAAATACATTTGAATACACTGAATATAAAATAGCGAATATCGTAAATACAAACATTGAATCTAATGAATGCAACAGTAAAAAAATATTGAAACACACTAAATACAAAAGTTAAATACAACAATTATATACAACTGAAAAATCACTCTAATTAATTGGGTTGATAATGAGGCATGTTAGAATTGATTTTGTTGAGTTATATTAGGAGTGTATCACGCTAATTGATATTATTTTCGCTATTAGACAGCTGGACATACCTATTTTTAAGGTGATTGCCGTTACTATATTCATGAATACATGGCGTGAATACATGTGAATACATGCGCGTACAACTGGACTGCCCTGATTTTAGACGCTTTCTGTTGCTGTATTCATGAATACAGCAACGCGAATACATCGAATATACTACCGTAATAATTGAATAGTAGTTATAGGAAGTAATTATATATATGGTAGCTATAGGAAGTTATAACCACTAAACAATAGTGATTTTTGAAAAATTTTCTACATTGAATTAAAGAACAGATGATATGTGTATTTCATATGCACTTTTATCACTCGTCAAAATTAATTAATATATAACTTACCTCAAGATATTACTTAATCATAATTAATTGATATGGTTTGGTTGATTAATTAATTGATATGGTTTGGTGTAAACATTAAGTATAATTAAATTTTATCGAAATATTTTGTCTATGTAACGGATCAAAGTCTCGGAACTTCTTATCTTAGTTTTACGCTTAGATTTGGAAAAGGGAGCATTCAATGCAAAATTTTAAGTCAATGTTTGGACCAGGTGATCCGGACCAAAATAATAATTAGTAAACCCCACTAAATACTTCAATTTACTCTATTTTGGGATTAATGTTTTAAAAGGTAGGGGCTAAAGCCAAAGGAGGAGCGTGTTACTTGAATGGGGTGAGGCATAGCCTAGAGACATAGGGCATAAGCCCCTCAGATCTTTAAAATTTTAATTTATAAATTAATAATATAGAATTATAACATTAAAAACTCAAAAACAAAAATTAAAAAGAAATAAAGAAACACATAAAAAAATAAAATATCTATCATATTTTACAAGCTTAAATAATGCAATACTGTAATGTCTTAAGTTTCAAACAATTAAAAATCATAATTTCGTAAAGATTATCAAACTGCATATTTTACTTCTCTAAAAGTAAATACTCAATAAATTTTATCAATACTGTAATTTAAATATTACTCTTTCATGGTAAATGCAAAATTACTTTTAAATAGCAAAATGATAAATGTATGATAATTTTGAGAGACATAGAACTAAGGCATTAGATCTAGCAAGTAAAGATACAAATTTTGGTTATCTGTTTTTAGAAAAAATATTCAAATGATATTCACCCTCATGATATTCTCAATCAGTAATATGTAATACTATGGTTCATTATTTGAGTTATTCACAATTTTCATATTCCCATAGATGAAAAAATTAATCATTCATTTGTTAAAGAATTTTGAGAGTCAATAGTGTTAATTAGTGAATTCAACACATGATTTACACAGAAACTGTTGGGCGAGCCCCGAATATTGAGCGCTAGGTGTGTTTAAGTCGCATAGTCGGACACTTGAGGGCGTAGGCCTCACAAAACTAAGCCCCACACATGAGTTTTCAAGGCATTTTTATAGTGCTCCGCTCCGAGGCAAGCCCCAAAGTAGTCCTAAAAAAATCTTTTAAAACACTGTTTGAAAATTACGTAATTGTTAACAGGCCATAATCAAAAAAGGCTTCAGGTATTAGACCGGATGATATTGAAAAAAAAAAAGAATCTTAGACTACCTATTCCATTAGCATAATTTATTTCAAATACATTGGATAAGTAAGAAAGAGATCGTTGTATCCTTTTTTCCCCTTCTTTTGGGTTTTGGTCAAAATAACCCCTTCTTAAACATGCATGAATTAAGTCTTCTGAGAGCACTACTGCGTTAAAATCATTTCTCAAAACTTTGTTAAATTCATCACATTGATGATTATATTGACTCGTTTAGAAGAACTAATATGGACGAAAACCTCGTTTGCCGAAGGCTGATGAACAAAATAACGTGCGATAAAAGTTGGCGTTGGATAAGATGTTGACTTTGTCGTGCTATGACTAAATCTCAATTAGGAAACTTGTAAAATGATTATTGAAGTTTAGGGAACAGCATAATCATGTATAGCTTTAGTCAAGAAATGAACCTAACCCAAATATTTTCCACATCCTCTTGCGCCACAGTCCACATATAAAACAAGGGCGTGTATAACGCCAAATTGAGAAAGTGAGAATAGCAACTTGGTTAGTTTTCATTCTTTCATAGAAGGGACAAGAGTTAATTAGCTGTAGAATTAACCGAAACACTAGGAAAAGGAGGAGGAGAAGCAAAAAATATTTTTCTGCATCAGAATATTTGTCATTTTTATGGAGACAAGAGGAAGTAGTTGATAAGTTAAAAGGAATCTGTCCAAATAATGTAGGACAACCATGCATTTTTTAAATAGGCATGTATTTTTAGCAACATAAGCAACGAACAGGGTTTACGAAGCAAGACCTTCCAAAAAGAGCAGCTTCCACATTTGTTGTGTACTCTAATTTGTTTTGACAAAATCATAATTCCTCGATCTTCCCAACATAATTAAAGGGTTGTGATTTATTTCTATATTTAGTGCCGTAATTAGAAGAGTTGTTAAACGTTCAATATACAAGTGAAACTTTCCAACTTCATCAAAAGATGTCACTGGAGGTAGGTCATTCCATAACAAAAGTGAACGTGTTATTTTTTAGTGGTTAAAGAACTATACCATATAAGCTTTTTTTCAGCTACATAGTTTACCTAAAATCTAAATATTAGATGTTCGTGTCTGATTAGGGATGAGAATCAATTTATTCTTAAGTGGAATATTGATTTGAAGACGAAAGCAAGAGGCTAAATTGGTAACCTATACATTACTTACTTCAGTGGCTTACGTAAATCACCATTTCTAAGGAAGTTGTAATCTTTATGCAACTCTTGCTTCACTTGACACTTGTATACGCTTTTAATTTTGTAATTCTTTGTTTTTCTTTTCTTACTTCGCATTAAAAAAAATAACCTCGCAAGATATAAAATTGAGAGGCTCCCTTTCCCTTTTTTCGGTTATTTTATGGAATAATTTGGGATTCGTTTATTTTTAACTGCTGTGATTATTATATTGCCATGGACTAGTATCTTTTAGTATGTTAATTGGACACATTTATTTTACAAATATCAGTGGAAAAAAAATACTGATGTGATATGTAATTAAATTAATTAGCTTGACAAGAAAATATCACATCAGAGTTTAAAATTAATTAAAATCATTAAAAGTTGTGAATTAGTGTATAGTAATATAATACGTAAAATAGTATCAAATATTTGGTTATGCTCTAAAATTTAAATTTTGATAGAGGCACAATGGAAATATAAAAGCTCTTTTTTTTAATCATTTCTTGGAATCTCCCAATTTTCCAACATCGAGGGAGTATTAGGTGAAGAAATTTCTTTTTCTTAAACAATTTCCTTGATATCGCACAATGTTTGGTTGTCCGAACGCTTGAATATATAGGATCTAAATTTAGGCTTATTTAGGATTTGTAAATGCTAGTACTGTAATAAATTAAAGAAGTAATTACTGAATGTAATATTGAAATTCCCATTATTTCCGAAGCAAAAGTACTATAAATTTCCGAAATGTGCAATTCATATAGTCTTGTATATATCTGGCGTTTGACCAATAACAAATTCCCGACCCCAAGTGGAAATCGTTGTCTTTTTGGGAACATTGGGGAAATAGTGAAAATTAGAAAGAATGGAAAAACGGAGATGGACCACGGGAAGTGTTTTATTGTGATACGATGTTAACCCAAATAGCTGTCCACCTAATATTTTAAACTAAACATAGCTAACAGATGTATAATATATGTATAATTTATCGTATAAATATAATTATATATAATCAATATATAATCTGTGTATATCGGCTAGAAAAAGTAAACATTAGATCAAAATAAAATAGAGAAAATAATGAAAGGCACACAACACTGATCTCAAACCGCAAAAATGGATCAAAGTAAGTGAAAGATTTTGGAAACATTGAGCCCAAAAACTTGCAAATTGAATTTCAGCGAAAGGAATAGCACGTAAAAAGTTGACCCCGGTTCAATAGTGAAGTTAACTATAGACTCATATGAATCTTCTTCACATCTTGAGCAGATTAATTACAACTAATTTATTTTAGTCACTGGATGTAAACGAAGGCTTCCTCACTTTGCCCTGTCTCACACACATGAAAATCAATTATCGTTTCCATCTGTGAACTTGAACTTGGGGTTTGCATAACCTATAGTATTTCAGTTTTTTCGTAAGAGAAATGTTAGTTTTTGCTGACTGGATCGGAGTATCATGTCCAACAGTATTTATGCTAGTTAACTAGTGAAATTTCCAAGATGAAACAAATAGGAGTATAACTGCTCGGATTACAAGAAGAGTTCTAAGTAAACTATCAAGAAATGTCGCTAACTGAGAATCCAGGTTCACGAACCTTAGCTTTTTGGCGTTTCACATACATAGTTCATTGAAGAGCATGATACAAAGCCTGAAACAAGACAGTCCATTACAAACATGCATTCCAGGAATTAAGCATCTAATATTCTAATCTATTACTGCTCATAACAGAATTTCAATTAGTGAAATAAGAAACTGTTGTATGCATTCCTCTCATAACTTTGAGAAGTTTAGTTAACTAAATGAGAATACTAAACCTTTCTCCTCATTCTATCAATGTATCGGATGTTATTTGGATATTTGTTCTTTGCATATCCTTCGGGTAAAAGGAGGACACCAATACTCAGAGGGTGATGGTGGTGATGGCATGCATAGAGAGAAAAACATTTATCTTGACAAGGTAGATGCACAACATGTAGAATTAAGGAAAAGTAAACTCTATAGCAGGACTCAATATAAAAAGGGATGCCTGCTCCTTACCTGATAATTTCATTTGAAGGGACCAGTTCCCAGAAAAGGAGAAATAGAAAAGGGCAAAGCGTAGGTGAAGACTTTCGAAACACACAAAGTGCATAGTCGAGGAAATACCAATCCAATCAAAGCAGCTTCATGTCATGAAAACGCATTTGGAAAAGGATACTGTGCACCCCACTTAGATATCATCAGTCAAGACCTGCAACAGGATTCCAAATTAGTTAACTGATCAGTATGTTGTGGGAGAAACAGGCACTTCACATGAGTACCAGCATCAGAGGTTCCGCTGAGATGTCACGGAAATGAGAGCAAACATCAGTCACTTCAATTCTGTCAAGGTGGTATGAGTTGATCCAGTTTCTTAGCCTACCAAATTGTTGTTCATCTTCTGCTGGATCCTGAGTATCATCGGAAAATGGTAATTTGGCAGCGGTTTTAGCACTTTCCCTCTTTTTTCGGAGGAGTATTAAGGCACCATTTGATTCAATTCATGAATTAGCCCACTATGAGGTATGCAGGGCGGAGCTAGGTGGCCGGAACCCCCTTCGCTCGAAAATTACATTGTGTATATAAGGTCTTTTTTATTTTATGTATATATATTAGATGTTGAATTTCCTTAGCTTCTTCACCTGTTTAGTTTTTGTGTATTTTTTGAATCCCCTTGGTGAAATCCTACTTCTGCCACCGGGTATGGTGAAGTAAAAAAGAGTACACAAGGAGTGAGTCTCTTAGGTGGTTTTATGCTGAAGGCACAAGAGGTTTATTAGAATCTGTACAGAATAGACGTGCATTGTTAGCCGCTTTTCAGCATTTCCTGCTTGAGTTGTTGACCATCGCCTGACCTCACATAGGAGGCCTCCCACCGTGCACGTTTGTGAGACCTTAGTCGGGATGCATAGTACCTACAACACCAGTCAAGGGAAGAAGGTCGGTAACAAAAGGTAATCTTTGGTCCAGCAGGAAGTAGGCAGTATTGGATGAAAATACACAGTACCTTCATCAGCCATATTACCATTATCCTGAGCATCTTTTTTCTCTGTGAAAAGATTATTTCTTATTAAAACATATGTGATTCAGAAATACTGAGGTAAGTAAATGTATAACCAAATCAGTCAAGTATAAATATATGTATTACCGATTGGTGCAACTACGTAATGGTCATCATCAGAGTGACTAAACTGAAATATATCATCATTTCGCAGACTTAAGTCCGTGCAAAGAAATTTAAGAGGATACCAAATGCAGTCAAAACTTATATACAATAGAAGCAAGGAGAAATAATTTTCTACCTCACAATCAGATTTACTATCATTCAGCTCCCAGCTTTACCTCTTCTGGTATCTTATCCAAAGTTCTCATCAACTGAATCAATGTACTGACCATTTTAAAACAGTGCTATTTCTTATTTCAATTGTTGTAGCTATCCAAAATCAACTAGCATGAGACGAAGCAGTGAGCTAGAATTTCATGAGATCAATATAAATACTTCATCTGATTGGGTACTGTTATATCACACACTTGAATTTTCTCCCTTTCTTCATTCCAATTCGATTCACATTCATTGAAACTTCTGAGCCGTCAGAGTTTGAATAACAAAAAGAAAATGCAAGTAGAGAACCATCAGCATCAGTTATCCTCAAGCTTCAATGTTATAGTTTCACAAATGATATAAAATTAACATCAAATGGATATTCTTTAGCTTTTTCATTATTTCAAGCCATACTATTCTGAGATGCTGAACTACTCAGCCTGTGATATCTTTAAACATATTACTGTCCAAATCCAACCGCCCTATCTTGTTGTCAGTGGCAGAGCCACCTTATCGCGGGAAAAATACACTGTCTAGGTAGGTCAAAAAATAAATTATATGTATATATACTATGTATTGTCTCCCCTTAATTTCTTGGTATGTTTACTTTTATATATTTTGACACCCCTTAACGAAAATTCTGGCTCCGTAAGTGCTTGTTGTCATACATGCATATTCCTTGATCATTGGTCCGTTTATTGTTTCGCAAACGCAGAACCAGAGTGTTTTAAGATACTTCTTGTGCAATGCATCATAAACACTTACCAAATAACAAAGAAGCATAAAGAACTGATAGGGCAGAATATAAAATCTAACACAAAGTATGATAAGACTAGTCAAAGATCAACATGCTTTAAAGAGTTTAAGCGCAAGTTCTAGTTTTTTTATTGGGGGTAAATTACTCTAGACAACTCTGTATTGTAGATACATCCCTGTTTTTAAGAAATGCAAATCACTTACTAATGAGTTAGATGAATATATATATTTTTTGACTTTATACTAAGTTTTATATAGCTTACCCCTAACTTGTTCGCAATGTGTTCACTGATTCATATGCCTTCTCGAAAATTCTCAGCTCTTGCAAAAATTTGTGTTTCCCTCTATTGATTTAGTTGGATGGTTTTGGGAATAATAAGGTTCAACGCAATTTGAAGGTCTTGTAACGTTCATTACTCCTTTTAATATCCAATGGCAATTGAGGATTTTTGATGAATCCTGTGAACCTGTTATATGTAATGTTGATATGCAGAGAAGGTCCATTATTTGGATTGAGTATTAGGAAATTTTACTTGTCTTTGAATTGTGCTTTTTCTTCATGTGCAGGAACGAGGATATATATATATATANCAGCTTAGTGCAAAATATGAGCTTAGTAACTTTCTTTGCCTCATTTTATACTATGAGGTAAAGTCACAAGAATAGAGGATTGATACTGCTACCTGATAGAAATATAAAACTTTTAAACTATAATTTCAAAGTACAATGTATTCACTACTAAAAACCTTAAGATTGAACTTTAAATCCCAGATTCAGCTCAATCTTCAAGACATGATTCCGGAATTTGGATAAGCCCAAGGGACATGGAGCTAAGGAGCTAAGGATGTTTAAGGTGTATTGATTGGCAAATTTGCTAAGGGGAGCAGAAAACGTCGCCTTGTTCTAACCATTTGTGTTCATAATCCATTGTCGAAGAACTGTCCAATAAAGCCTGCAAATTTCCACGAACTTTTTGCAAGCACTTGTGGTAACGAAGTCTCCTTAGCACAACATTCTTATCAAGAGATTGATGAGACGACTTCAAATAGAGTTGGCTACTTACTGAGGTTACACTCTCAGTCTCATTACTATCTTGATCATTATGTGACAAACTCACCTTTTGGGGCTCAGAGAAAGAAGGTCGTTGCTCTTTAGATATCAAGAAAGCCATGTTTCTTTGAATGATTGTAATATCAATAATTCTCACAAGTTAAGAGGTAGTGGAAGAATGGTGAGTTGGATTAAATCTATAAATAGCATTCTATATTCAAATTTTTCTGTGGGTATATAGGCAACTCTTTTGTCTTCTTCTAAAGAGTAACGCATATTTGGGTTCCTCTGGTTTTATTTTAAGCTAGTGGTTTCTTGATCAGATAGTATCAAATGGATTGTACGTGTAGATACTTAGTATACAAGTAATAGCAACTCCCAGTTTTTTCCTAAATGTGCAAATAAATTGGCAAACAAAACACACGAATGCGTGGACTAAAGTATTTATTTAACTTATCGAGTAATAAGTAAAGTGTCAGCACAATATAATAAGTGTAATGGTTATCCTGAAGTGGGAGGGTGGGGACCAATCTATTGAAACTTGAAAAATTGAAAAAAAGGAGACTGAAGAACAATGCAAATGGTGGAAACAGTGGGCTGTGTCACTAGTTTTATTTCCAAACCGAGTGCGTAAGCGTAACTGTGGACATTTTATTGGGCTCATTTGCTCCTCTTCAAGGCCCGTTTAACTCAGTCTTTTCTATAATTAAAAAAAAACATATTATTTTGTACTTTTATCTTTGTCAATATTCGTCACACAGTAAAATAAGTTTCACTGGACAAGAAATTTAACTTACTAAATTATGCACGCAGATATCGACTCTTTTGAATTTCCTGGCATTCGGTAGGAAGTTTCCGTCGTAAATTTGTTTGACCAAAAAATATAACTTTCAGTTAAACCTTTATATTTATGTAATGTTGGGTTAAACCTAGTTAATAATAATATTTCTAAACATGGATCTTAAAAATACGGATAATGTGGGCCTGGTCCAGTGAGAGATTAATAATATCGTGCATTAAATATTTTAAAAGTATGAACAATAATGGAGGAATAACTAGCAATAAATAACAATAAATGACATTTAAGTAAATAGAAGGAATGATTCACCCAATAATAAATGAGTTAGATGATTGTTTCTCCTGACAATGATGTGTGACAGATAAATCCTAGAATGTTCGAACTATTCTCGGATCTGATAGAAAAGTATGGAATAATATGAGTAAGAATCTTGATGAAAATGTAATGTTTGTATCTTTGCTAGAGAGAGAGATTCTTCTTCTAAAAAGTGTTCTTATCAAGTGAATATCACATATCTTTATTCATTGTCTTTTTTCCTATTTATATGGGACATACCCCCAATAAACCCTAATAACACAAGTACAAAGAATATCCAAAGGAATATTCTCTTTAATATCCTACCATAGTAAATTAGCCGTTACAGTTCTTTCCGCCGTGCTCGACATCGACTTGCGTCTGCATCTCGACCACTGGCTTCACCATCTCCTGGTCGACCTCAACTGACTCTTTTCTTGAAGTTACTTCCCACCAAATACTGAGATAGATTTCGACCCATACAAAATTCTTGTTCAATTTTGAAAGATATTATGAACCCCGAAACGGTAGTAATGGACGACAAATCAAATCGTCAGTTCTGGCTCAACTACTTTTTTTTCTAGATCCGAAGACGTGGTAGCCAACGCGAACGGCTTTCCAGAGACTTGGAATCACACTCGTAAGTATCCATTTTTCGTGAAAGGCATTTGATTTGTCTATATCTAGTCGTAGGCTCTAACATTTTGTCTCTTCCTCGTACAACCAAAGCTGCGCCTCATCCTTTGGTGAGGGACATTTCCGACTGGGTTGGCCGGATTTTGCCTCACATTGTGGGGATTCGTTAGTGACCGGGCTTTCTCAAGAAGTTCAAACCTTTTTCTTCCTTGGCCGATGAGTTCATCTATTTTTTATTTTTACTATTTTGACCTCATGGTCGCTTGCTCGCTATAGTTTATTATCGGTAGTGACAACCTTTGATCTTTCTTTTCAATTCGAGGATCTTCGAGGAGGCCGAGGGCTCCTCCTGCGTTTCGTTAGAGGAAGACTGCTTCATCTTCGGAGTCTGTTCCTATTGTGACTGAAACTATGCCTGCTCGGTCATCTGCTTTTGTTCGTTCTTCCGCCGCGGCCAGGTCTACTCATTCGTCTGCCACACCTACTGCTGCCTCCGTATCAGTTTCTTCTCCGCCTGCGAGTATATCGACAAGAGAGCTCTCGGCTTCTCCTTTGCACCGTTTAGTGGATGGGGAAGAAGAGTCATCGCCGAGCGGTGGGAATTTGGTTCCCCATAAGATAAGATCGGTGGACGTCAGCGATGGGGTCACCTGGGCTGTGGATTCACTAAGGGGCAATTTCGTGATCTGTGAGATGACGACAATAGTGCTAAAAGATGATATCAAGTCGCCGCCTGAGATTCCACTATTGGCTGAGGCCACAGAGGGCGTGTCCCTTCCTGATGTCACGATGGAAGCTGAAGGGCCATTTGCGAGAGTCTCTGATATTTCACGGTAAAATGAGTCATCGGCCTCGTGATCAATTGATGGTTCTTCTTCGCTGGTCGACAGGAAAGGAAAAACGTTGCCGAGGATGGCTATGAGACGGGCTCTAATATTGATGCCGATGAGGTGAGGATGATGGGGGATGGTTTTACTCGACTTGAAGTAAGACTGGAGGGGTCCACACAGACCATTGCGATCTCCATGGATCGAGATTTGTTGGTAAATACGGAGAACGTGGTTCCTTCCCTTGGTTCCCTCTTTTCTGACATGGAGGGTAAAACTCTTGAAAAGCTGGATGATGCTACCTTATCAAGGAGCATAGCCGGTCTCGCTCTCAGAGTAAGCTTCTCGACTTCTTCCATTTTTTGTTTGTCAAGTTCAACGTTTAGGCTTCGTTCTTACTCTCCTTTTTCTTTGTCTTTCTTTTTCAGATTGTGATTTTGGAGATTGAAAGCGCCCGAAGAGAGGAGAGGCGTAAGGCTATTTTTTTGAAGATGGAGCGAAAATACCGCGAGTACCGTGGCAAGCACCGCGAGATTTGTAGGCGATTTGGTGAGAGTGGAAATTTTCAGGCTCTCCGAGATGAACTGAAGGAAAAGGATAGCGAGCTGGTGAGGGTCATCGAAAAATGCAGCGTTCTTGAAGGGGCGCCGAGAGATAAAGAAGAGGAGCTTGAGGTTAGTAGTGGGTCGAAGCCCAGTGCGGTGATCTCAAAGCCTAGGTGGTCTTGTTGCACGCCGATATCGAGGAGTGTGAATTCAAAGCGGATGCTTTAAGAGGTGAGCTCGCCGAGAAGGCATCGGA